ATCAAAACTTCCCACAAGAACAATCTCTTTTGTCTTCTTCATTTCTCTCCACTGATTCCCCAGCTGCTGCTGCTGCCAAATCACTTCAGTCGTGTCTGACTCTGTGTGACCCCATAGACGGCAGCCCACCAGGCTCCTCTATTCCTGGGATTCTCCAGGCAAGAATACTGGAGTGGGTTGCCATTTCCTTCTCCAATGCATGCATACATGCAAAGTTGCTTCAGTTGTTTCCAACTCTGTGTGACCCTACAGGCATCAGCCCACCAGGCTCCGCTGTCCACGGGATTCTCTAGGCAAGAATACTGGAGTGGGTTGCCATTTCCTTCTCCAGAGCCCACTCCAATAGACTTTTGACCCCACTATTGCATGGAGTTGCTCTAATCAAGGTCACCACGGACCTCCACATCCTTGAATCTGACAGTCAGTTGTCAGCCTTCATCTTACTTGACCCGAGAGCACAGCTGGCCCTGCTGATCACCCTCTCCTCTTCTTTTAAACGCTGTCTTCTCCTGACTTCCAGACTCACAGACTGGCCTCCCTGCCAGGTCGCTGACCACTCCTTGTCAGACTGCTTCTTCTGATTCTCTCTTATCTCTGCAATCTCTTTAAACTGGAGTATCAATGACTCAGGCCTTGAACATTTTCTCTATCTACAGTTGCTTCCTGGCTGATCTCATCCTGGCTCATTAAATACTATCTATAACCTGATGACTTCCAAACTGATGCATTATATTTGGCACTCAACGCCAAGCTCATATATTTAACTGCCTACTCATCATACCTGCTTTGGTATCTAATAATAATCTCAAACCAAACATAATCAAAGCTGAACCCTCACTGTACACCACCAAATTTGCTCTACTTTAAATTCTCCCTATGGAGTACTTGGTTACTTCCATCCGTCCTGTCAGTTGGGCCAAAACTCTAACATCATTCTTGATTCTTCTCTTTCTCTTACATGCAACATAAAATCACAATTGTTCATGATCTTGATGATACCCTTAAGTACACGTAGATATAGATACTCAGATTCCCTTCTTAACTCTACAAGCTCCCTCTTCCTTCAAGACACTAACAGTCCAATTAAAATACTTCTATAGCTTCTTTACTGATCTCCCTGCTTCCATTATTTCCTGTTCCCTTGCTGTCAATCATTGACTGAAGAGTTAAGTCAGATCATGTCTATCACTTGCTCCAAACCCTCCAGTGGCTTCCATAACCCTCAAAATAAAAGCTAAAGTCCTTCAAAAGCCTACACCAGAAAGGAAGAAATCAACTTCTATTGCCTTTGCTAATTTCCTTTGCTGGTACCTGCAACTTTGCCAGGAGTCCTGCATTAATACCTGTGTGTGGAGGACTGTAGGGAGTTAACAGTGGAGGGTAAAGGGAAGGGTGATGATACCCTCCATCTCTCTGTGGCTCTGAGGAGGAATCAGGGCATCCCAGAGAGGGGGTGCTGAAGTCAGGGACAACAAACATGGATGTGCTTGTTGGTCCTCAAGGCAGTAGGAGATGCAGGAAGAAGTGTGACTCTCAGAGGACAGATACGAAACAAACCCCCTATTTTCCAAATCTATTAAAGGGAGGGAGCCCTTGGATCAGAGGGATTTGATCCTTCGGACACAGAGGGTTGGCAAATTGTGCTTCATATCAAGAAGAATACTATTGTTTCACTGCAAACGATACCACTTTTGTAGTCTAACCACAGAGGGAAAAATTGAAAGACAATTTTCTCCCCAATCCATCTTTGAAAGCAGTCACTTGTCTAAAAGAAAAATCTCAAGTGATTTATGTAAGAAAGAAAGCATGAAAATCTGGAAAAATATATTTAGGATAGTTGAAATCCTGGTTCTGACAAAAAAAATTAATTAACTGAAGAGATTTCTCAGAAATCTATGATACTGTTGCAGTTGAGCAACTTCCTTCAGATTTTTGCCTTCTCTGAGCACTCCATCAAGAAATAATCCCCCTCCTCCACCCTCACATGCTCTTCTTCTGCTATATCCCTCCACACAGACCTCCATCTGACCCACAATCAGGGTGCTTCATCATCATGATGTACCTATTTTCTACAGAATGCTGTGTCCCTGACACTGGCACAGAGAAGGCACCTGACAAATGTGTGTTGAATGAATGAATGAGTCCGAATCCCTTTGTCAACAATTTCTTCCGGAGACATCTGACTTTCAGAGAAGCTCAGGTTCCTGTTGGGCATTCTACATAACGAGGTAAACTGTCTCCTTCGGTGCAGGCACTACACAAGGTACTACCTATGTTGGCTCCCAAGACTAAATAGAAGGTGTGATGTTATGAGACAGTACTGACAATTAGAAGGGTGGAAATTAAGTTTTCAGAGCACATGGTGTTTGCAAATCTAAACCTTCTGATTAGCAATTTCAATGGGGGAAAAATACCCTACAGAATATCACAGTCAGGGAAGGCAAAACATATTCTGTAGCTTTGTTAATTATACCAGGCAAGCAGCTGCTGGAAAAATGTCTATAGATGCACTTCTGACAGGGAATACTACAGGGCTTGGTAATCACAATCTCTAAAGAAAATTAATTAGCAGAAGACCACAGAGAGGAGAAAGTTAAAATGTTTAGAACACCAGTGAACAAAGGCTTAATGCAACATAAAATATGCAGATTGGTTTATAATATAAAATCTATATTCACTCATAGTAAAAGCCTCCCTGTAAGTTACTGTCATTTATTAAGTCCTTCTGATTGAGTGTTAATGAATATTATAAACTGGTCATTTTACTAAGAACTGAACATGATTGTATTCTAGCAGTGATATTTGAAAATTATTGTAGAAGTATTTAGTATTTATTTATCTATGTTCATTCATCCATCCAATCATACATACATATACTGAGAAGTGAAGTGTATACACTCAACAGATCACCAGCCGCTACCAGAATAAGAATGATTGCAAAGCAGTACAATGTGGCCACACAGACAGTGTTTCACTGAACTGAGGTCTCTCCAAGCTCAAACTATACCATAGACGTAAATGGGTGACTTAGTTCTTGAAGATATAAAATAGATTGAGTTTGTAAAACAGCCTTAAAAAGTAGCTTTTCAAGACCTCAGAGTATCAAAACTAGATAGCATTTTATTCATTCCACTGTAAGAACTGAAGTTGCTATTATGCAACTTTTGGAAATAAACCTCTACCATAATCACTAATTGATGCTTTTGAACTGTGGTGTTGGAAGAGACTCTTGAGAGTCCCTTGGACTGCAAGGAGATCAAACCAATCAAACCTAAAGGAAATCAACTCTGAATATTCATTGGAAGGACTGATGTTGAAGCTGAAGCTCCAGTACTTTGGCCACCTGATGCAAAGAACTCACTCATTGGAAAAGACCCTGATGCTGGGAAAGATTGAAGGCAGGAGAAGAGGATGACAAGGATGAGATGGTTGGACTGCATCACCAACTCAATGGACATTAGCCTGAGCAAACTCTGGGAGATGGTGAAGGACAGGGAAGCCTGGTATGCTGCATGCAGTCCATGGGATTGGGGTTGCAAAGAGTCGGACATGACTGAGCAACTGAACAACAACAAATAATCACTAATAAATTAGAGGTCAGGACATTCTATTTGGTATATGTAGCTCAGAAAAATGTCAGAGCACTGAAGGTCAAAAAATTATAGATCATAATGCTCAGACAATGAACACTGGCCTGACATGACCCCATAGTTGTCAACCATGATGTGAGAAGCTATATAAGGCCACATATATGACATGCAGACTTCAACTTTTACTTAGATTCATATACTTTTTTTTACCGCTTTATTTTTTAATTGAAGGATAATTGCTTTGCAGAGTTTTGTTGTTTTCTATCAAACATCAACAATAATCAGCCATAGGTACCCCATGTCCCCTCTTGAAAGAAACTGTATAAAGGGTCAGGATCAACTTTGAAATTGAAAGTGAAAGTCACTCAGTCATGTCCAACTCTTTGTGACCCCTGGACTACACTGGCCATGGACCAGGAGTGGGTGGCCTTTCCCTTCTCTAGGGGATCTTCCCAACCCAGGGATTAAACCCAGGTGTCCTGCATTGCAGGTGGATTCTTTACCAGCTGAGCCACAAGGGAAGCCCAAGAATACTTGAGTGGGTAGCCTATGCCTTCTCCAGTGGATCTTCCCAACCCAGGAATCAATCCAGGGTCTCCTGAATTGCAGGTGGCTTCTTTACCAGCTGAGCTACCAGGGAGCCCCAGTACCATCATAAGTATCTTACAAAGTATAATCATGGAAAAAGAAACCTTTACTTTAAATATGTTCATTTCAAGCTCTTTTAATGGCAATTGAACAGTTTTAGAGAAAGCATCAAATTACCTGAGTCCAAGTTGCCCAGAAATTCATAGCTTCTTATTTGATATACCCTGCCTTTTTTCTGATTATTTCTGTATTTGTTTGAAAGGCCCATTAACTTAGTAAATTAGCAACTCTTTAATGGAGATTCCATATCTAATTCATCTTTCTAGTACATGGCTGAATAAATATTTATTATTATTCAAGATTTTTAATTAAATTTTTAAGAATTTTTCACCCTTTCTCATATTAATTGAGCATAATTGTGCATAATCATGGATTAGGTGCTTCCCATTGTAAAAGAAATTGAATAGGTATTGAAAATGTCTGCCTTCTAGGAGACAGATGGAAAGAAGATGGTAAGGCTAAGAGAAAATGAGTTGGGATAAGATGTTTAGATGAAATGGAAAGTGGTTTCATCTATATTTTCTTTTGAAAAGAAATGATATCAAATGCCTAATTTCTAAGGAAAAAATCCATAATTTTAAGTCAACGCCATTATTTGAAAGTGTTTGAATCACACTTCTAATTGGCAGTGAGTTGATTTTTAGATGGAATTTTAACACAAGATAAATATGATGAAAACTCAAAGTCTTTCAAAGGAATCAGGACAATATCATACAAATTCAGATTGAGGTGATCAGCTACAGAGGTTTCAATCCACCATACCTTAGCCACTTCTTCTTGGAAAGCCACGAGGTTCAAATGCGAGATGTTAACTAAGTCAGGCCCATACACCACTGTTATCATGCGATGTTCCAGGCGCCCAATGTTCCCCACATCCAGAAGTTCACGTAATTTAGGGTCCTGGATAATAAACAAAGATTGAAAAAATTAGTCAGCTAGAGATTCCAACATGGCAGCTTAATTTCAGAAGAATTAGAGCTAGAATGCCCTCAAAACAAAGTTTCCTTTTATTCTTTGATTTTTTAAAATTTTTATTGAAGTATAGTTGATTGACAATGTTGTGTTAGTTTCAGGTGTATAGTAAAGTGATTTGCTGCTGCTGCTATGTCGCTTCAGTGGTGTCTGACTCTTTGCAACCCCATGGACTGCAGCCTACCAGGCTCCTCTGTCCATGGGATTTTCCAGGCAAGAGTACTGGAGTGGGGTGCCATTGCCTTCTCTGTGAAAGTGATTTGGTTTATATATATATATATAAAACTTCCCCTGGTGGCTCAGACAGTAAAGAATCTGCCTGCAGTGCAGAAGACCCAGGTTTATTCCCTGGGTCAGGAAGAACCCTTGAAGAAGGAAACGGCTACCCACTCCACTATTCTTGCCTGGAGAATTCCATGGACAGAGGAGCCTGGTGGGCTACAGTCCATGGGTTGCAAACAGTCAGACATGACTGAGCAACTAACACTTTCACTTTTCATATGTATATATTATTTTCCAGATTTTTTTCCCTAATAGGCTATTACAGAATATTGACTAGAGTTCCCTGTGATACAGGGATACAAGGACACAGTAGGTCCTTGTTGGTTATCTATTTTATATCTAGTGTGTATATGTTAATCCCAAGCTTCTAATTTATCCTTCCTCCCTCCTTTCTTCTTTGGTAACCATTTTTGTTTTCTATGACTGTGTTGCAAATAAGTTCATTTGTATCATATTTTTAGATTCCACATATAAGAAATATCATATTTGTCTTTCTCTTTGTGGCTTACTTCACTTAGTATGATAATCTCAGGACAAAGTGGCCTTTTATTCTTAAAATAAATTGGTATGATTTGAAGTCTCTCACCCCAGAAAAGTCCAGAGAGGTGAAATAACTTGCCCAAAGGTTGTGGAGAAAGGATTTCTGGATCAAGATTTATGATCCTCATGGTATCATGGTAAGTGAAAGAAGTCAGAAAGACAAATACTGCATGATATCATTTACCTGTAATCTAAAAGTTCTGAAATCATAGTAATAGAGATTACAGAGTGGTGGTTACCAGGAGATGGAGGATGGGGAAAAAATGGGGAGATATTGGTCAAAGGGTATAAATTTCCAGATATAAGGTCTGAGCATCTACTGTCCAGCATGTGATTATAGTTAATATTGATAATGTTGTATTACATACTTGAAAAATAGGAGGGGAGTAGATCTTAAATGCTCTTACCAGAAGAAAAGAAATGATAATTATGTGAGGTGATGGAGTTGTTAGCTAATACTCCGCTGGGAACCATTTTGCAATATATAAGTGTAACAAACCAACATGCTGTGCACCTAAACTTCCACAAGGTTATGTCAGTTATATCTCAATAGAACTGGAAGAAAGACGTCCTCAATCAAGATCATACTGTCATTCAGTAACACATTTTTATGTGTCACAATTCTCCTTCTATTTCCTCCAATCAACCCATGAATTGAAATGCAAAAATCTCATCCCTCTCCTCATAAACACATTTTAAAGGAAAAAGGTGGTTCTGGCAGAATCAAAGCACAGCAATGCCATCTAGGGTTGGGGCAGAAAACTAGCTAAGTGCACAGCATGGGCCGTCTCCAACATTCAGCAATGAGAGAAAGAGAGGCTGTTAGATTCAGCAAAATAGCCACACAGGTGATTGCTGCTGTTCAGTTGCTCAGTCTTGCCTGACTTTTTGTGACCCCATGGACTGCATGCAGCACACCAGGCTTCCCTGTCCTTCACTGTCTCCTGGAGCTTACTCAAACTCATGTCCATTGAGTCAGTGATGCCATCCAACCATCTCATCCTCTGTTATCTCCTTCTCCTTCTGCCTTCTATCTTTCCAAGCATCAGGGTCTTTTCTAGTGAGTCAGTTCTTCCCATCAGGTGGCCAAAGTATTGGAGCTTCAGCTTCAACATCAGTCCTTTCAATGAATACTCAGGATTAATTTCCTTTAGGATTGACTGGTTGGATCTCCTTGCAGTCCGAGGGACTTTCTAGTGTCTTCTCCAACACCACAGTTCAAAAGCATCAATTCCTCAGTTCTCAGGCTAGTTTATGGTCCAACTCTCACTTCCATAAGCTGTAGCTTTGACTAGATGGACCTTTGTTGGCAAAGTAATGTCTCTGCTTTTAGTACTCTCTCTAGGTTTGTCACAGCTTTTCTTCCAAGGAGCAAGCGTCTTTTGATTTCATGGCTTCAGTCACCATCTGCAGTGATTTTGGAGCCCCCAAAAATAAAGTCTGTCACTGTTTCCATTGTTTCCCCATCTATTTGCCATGAATTGATGGGACTGAATGCTATGGTCTTAGTTTTCTGAATTTTGAGTTTTAAGCCAGCTTTTTCACTCTTCTCTTTCACTTTCATCAAGAGGCTTTTCAGTTACTCTTTGCTTTCTGTCATAAGGGTGGTGTCATCTGCGTATCTGAGGTTATTGGTATTTCTCCTGGCAATCTTGATTCCAGCTTGTACATGTCCAGCCCGGCATTTTGCATGATGTACTCTGAATACACATTAAATAAGCAGTGTGACAATATACAGCCTTGACATACTCCTTTCCCAACTTGGAACCAGTCTGTTGTTCCATGCCCAGGTCTAACTGTTGCTTCATGATCTGCCTACAGGTTTCTCAGGAGGTAGGTGAGGTGGGGGTATTCCCAACTCTTTAAGAATTTTCCACAGCTTGTTGTGATCCATGTAGTCAAAGGCTTTAGTATATAATCAGTGAAGCAGCAGTAGATGTTTTTTCTGGAATTCTCTTGCTTCTTCTATGATCCAACGGATGTTGGCAATTTGATCTCTAGCTCCTCTGCCTTTTCTAAATCCAGCTCAAACAACTGGAAATTCTTGACTCACATACTGTTGAAGCTTAGCTTGGAGAACTTTGAGCATTACTTTGCTCGCACATGAGATGAATGCAATTGTGTGGCAGTTTGAACATTCTTTGGCATTGCCCTTCTTTGGAGTTGAAATGAAAACTGACATTTTCTAGTCCTGTGGCCCCTGCTGAGTTTTCCAAATTTGCTGGCATACTGAGTGCAGCACTTTCACAGCATCATCTTTTAGGATTTGAAACAGCTCAGCTGGAATTTCATCACCTCCACTAGCTTTGTTCTTAGTGATGCTGCCTAAGGTCCACTTGACTTCACACTCCAGGATGTCTGGCTCTAGGTGAGTGATCACACCATCATGGTTATATTGGTCATTAAGATCTTTTCCATATAGTTCTCTTGTGTATTCTTGCCACCTCTTCTTAATATCTTCTGCTTCTGTTAGGTCCATACCATTTCTGTCCTTTATCGTGCCCATCTTTGCATGAAATGTTCCCTTGGTATCTCTATTCTAGCCTCACAAATACTGGGATTTGGACATAGAGAAATTCTGCAGTCTTTTCAGAGCAGATGTTCTTTAGGACATCAGAAGCATGTATCTTTTGGGGACCTAGACCTGCTGGGAAAAGGATGTTTCCAAAGCTTCTGAATTCATAATAAAATCTACCATAGGGTTCTGTTGGTTTGGCTGAAATTATTTTCCTTTCATATGACAGGTCCTGAAGATAATGAGAGGGTCATGAAGAAAATCAGCCTCAAATGAATCACTTAGCAAATCTGCAGCCAGCTTCTGAGCAAGGAATAACTTACATTCTTATTTATTTAGCTACATGCTGGGCCAACACAGCTTAATGACTTAGGCTGGTTATTCTGATCTCCCTTCTGAGGTTTTTATACACAGCACCCTTGAAGAGAAATAGAGAACTAGAAAAACAAACAAGCAAAAAAGAAGAAAGCAATATATTTCCAGCTGAGTTATTTTATTTGGTGACATTAATTCTCCCTTTACTTAATAAACTTTCTCCTCTGTTTGGCTGCATGAAGAGGAACCCTTTCAGGTAAGTAACAAAGAGAGAAAATCACATTTCAAAGCTGCACTCAATATAATAGAAACTTAAACTTGACTAACACGTTGATAATTTATCAAGAACATCAGGCCTCTGTGAAAGATCAAACACTATCACAAAAACATAATTTGCATGACCTAGAAAAGGAAAGGAATACAGTAAAAAAAAAAAAACAACAACTAAACAATCATAGCAAAAAGGGAAATTTTTATCCTTTTACCATTATTGAAAGATTAAAGAAAAATGTTCAGAAACAATGAACTTTTTCTGCAGGCCGGTTAAAGAATGATACCAGCTGTTCTGTGAAACAGTTAACTGCATCCCAGGCTTTAAACACAATTGAGGCAAGGCTCAGGGAGAAAACACATTGATCAGTCCTTAAATGTTTGTGTACTTGAGGAAAATTATAATCCTCAGAAACCACCTGAAACTTGTGCTTATAAATCTCTAGTGTTGCCAGTCAGGATGGCTGCTATCCAAAAGTCTACAAGCAATAAATGCTGGAGAGGGTGTGGAGAAAAGGGAACCCTCTTACACTGTTGGTGGGAATGCAAACTAGTACAGCCACTATGGAGAACAGTGTGGAGATTTCTACCCACTGCAATGTTGTGAAGTAATTAGCCTCCAACTAATAAAAATAAATGAAAAAAAAAATCTATTACCACAGAACCAAAACTATAAATCCAAAACCACATCCATTTACTAAAAATACATTAAAAAAAAAAATCTCTAGTGTTAAGCCAGTGATTGTGGAGTTCACTGACATCCTTATTTCTGCAATGAATGGGGCAGTGTGGGGACATGAAAGGGCTCTGTACTTTACACCTTCCTTACTTCCAGTGAGAGCCCTGTGATCCATCCTCTGGCTCTTTTCTCCCTCAAGTATTTTCTCTTCCTCCTACACACTTTCCTGCCCGATTCACATGTCCATTAAAAATACATTTGCCCACTTATTAAATCGATAGTTGAGTACTGATTAAATCAATCAATAGTTGATTGATTCACGGGTTC